CATGCTATAAAAATTCTTAGGATGTATTTTTGGGTTCTTCATAGTCTTTGGAGCTGTGATATTATTTCTTATGTGAAAATACCTAGGAACACAGTTTCACATGACTTCTTTTATTAGATTGATCCCTGGATATTTTATGTTCTTTGTGCTACTATAAATAGGATTTGTTTTTAATTTTTCAATTGTTTGCTGCTATATATGAGGTTAGTGTCTTTTTTTGCAAGTTAAACTAATATCTTATGACCTTATTAACCCATTTATTATTCTAATAATTGCTTTATAGGTTCCCTGGGGTTCTCTGTGTAGAGAACTATATCCTTTGCAAATAGGAGCAGTTTTATTTTTTTCTGACTTTTATACATTTTGTTTATTTTTCTTGCCTTATTGCAATGACTAGAATTTCCAACTTGATGTTAAATGTAAGAGGTGGAAGCAAGCCCCTTTGCCTCATTCTCCGTTTCAGGTGAACAGTTCAGTCCTTTATTACTAAGTGTATTTGTTGTGAGGTTTCACATACGCTTTTATGGACTTGAGGAACCTCCCTACTATTCTTACTTCTCTGAGACTTTTTTAAACATGAATGAACATAAAGTTATCAAATGCATTTTTGTATTTATTGAAATCATCCCTTATTTTGTAAATAAGGCAAATTGCACTGATAGATTTCCAAATGTTAAAGCAATCTTGTATTCTTGACATCACTTTCACCTGGCTGGTGGGCTTCTTATTTTTGTTCCACGGCAACTACTTTCTCAGACAATGTCTCAGAGTTTCTTATCGCCAGTGTTCAGAAATTTTGTCACGGTAGATAGACGGATAGATACAGATGCAGATGTAGATTCAGACACGTGGAAGTCGGTGTGATTTCCATATTTCTTACGATTGGGACTCACTGAGTTTCTCGGACCTGAGGGCTTCCGCAAATCTGAGGATATTTCAGCCTAATTTCCCCACTTCCCTACCCCTCCTCTCCCACCCTTCTGTTAGGACTCTGCACGTACAACCCCAGTTGGTATTGTCCTGTAGGTCACTAAAACTGTCCCCCTCCCCTGCCCCCAGTCATTTTTTTTTTTGGTCTGGTCTCAATTAGGAAGTTGCTACAGCAGTATCTTTAGGTGCACTATCTTTTCTTTCCTCATTTCTACCTGCTTGGAAACCCATCTCATGGATTTTTTAATTTCATAAACTGATTTTCCAGGTCTAGTGCTTCTGTTCAGTTCTGCTCCCTTCCTGCCTTCCTCGTGTTCCTGTTTCCCTTGGAAATCTTAAGCATGGTCACAGCTTTTTTGGCTGCTGTAACAGACACAGTGGTGGCTTCAAACAGCAGACATTGGCTTCAGCAGCTCTGGGGGCTGAGGGCTCCGAGGTCAAGGCCCTGGCAGATGGAGTCTGGGGTCTGGGCCTGGCTCACAGACAGCCGTCCTCTTGCAGTAAGCTCACGTGGCAGAGGGCGCTGGGTGCCCTGTGCCTCTGCTTAACCCACTCTGCTCAAGGGAGTTCTGCCCTCAGAACCCACCCACCTCACCAAGGCCTCAGCCTACAAATGCCAACACATTTGGGGTCAGGGTTCAATATCTTATTGGAGGGGACATAAACACTTAGTCTAGGATGAGCACATTCTAGTAACTGTTCTAATAACCCTTCTCTGATAAATCCATCATTTCTGCATCTCCATGTCTACTTTTCTGGTTTTTCTATGACTGACTTTTTCCTGGATTATGTGTCACAGTTTCTCACATCCTCACGGGTCAGGTTGATTTTGATTGGCTGTTGGACGCACTGATTAGTATTACATTGCTGAGTGGCTCGAGTCTGTCTCCCTCTAGGTAGTGATTCAGGTTTCTGTGGCAGGCAGTTGAAATTATTTTTGAAGGAGATTGATCTTGTTGAGGCTTGTTCCATTTTTCAGGGGTAGAGCAGACGTTGCTGTTGGCCTGGTTTTGTCCAGTGACCGAGGCGTGACTTTCCTGAGTTCTTTTCTGAACGCCCCATGTACTCAGCGCGGTCTTTCCGCTTGACTGGTTGGAACTGTGTGAGCTCTAGAAATTGTCCCGCTGACAGGTCCCCACTTCTTTGCCTGCCCTTGGCAGGTTGATCCTGTGCTGAGTAGCACAGAGTGACCCCAGTCTTGAAGAAATTCAAGGACACCTCTCTCCCCCACCCCCACTACAGGCACTGCACGTGCCCGGCAAGTGCTCTACCACTGAGCGACTTCCCCAGCCCATTTACAATTTATTTTGAGACAGGGTCTTGCTAAGTTGCCTAGGCTGGCCTCAAACTTATAATCCTCCTGCCTCAGCCTCAACCAGGTGGGATTACAGGGGTGCGCCATCAAGTCTGGCTCCAAGGACACCTTGTGAGGAGCAATTTTCCTTTGAGCTCAGCCCACTTGTCAACTGCTCTGTGGCCTCAGTTCACTCATCTCCTGGAACCCCAGTCTCTGTTCTCACTAACTGGCTCTGTGGTCCGCCCGACTCTGTCTCTCTCTGCTCTGCTTGAGGAAGGGCCTCCTTGGGGAAGCCCGCAGCCTCCATTTCTCCACGTGTCACCTTCGCTCGGTGACTTCGCTGACAGCCCCAATGTCTGGAAGCTGTTTCACGGTTTTTTTCCCCAGTTTTCCACCTGCTTCGTCGGGCAGGCGAGTTCAGTAGGACCACAGCTGGCGGCTGGACGCAAGAGTCCAACTTTCCCCCAAAGACATGGGGGAAAATAACGTTCCACCAGTTTAAATTTTCTATTAAACCAACCAAAAGAGAAGCAGGTCCTGACACAAACTGAATCGGTGTTTTTCACCCAGCAGGAGGGACACCTAAGGAAGATGTGACTGTCACCCGTCCTACAGTGCTGGTTCTTAGCGGCTCTCTCTGCGGGAAGGAAAAACAGAAAAGCAAAGCTACAAGAGGCCTGAGGACTTCAGGAGGATCGTGGTCCTAGGGTGGGCCGTGAGCAGGGAGCAGTCCGAAGTGGGGTCCTTGGGGCAGCAAAGCCACCAGGGCAGAAAGCTTGACCTTCCGCCCACTCGGGATGTGTCTGCCCACAGCCACCGGCACCGTCTTCCTGGGGAGTGCAGGGAGTTTCAGATACTGAATAGGTACTTGGCTGGACAGGTGCTGTCAAGAGTGTTAATTCAAACCAATGAGCCCGCTCAAGGGCAGGGAACAAGGATGTGGGGCGGCGGGGAGTCAGGTCCCCAGACATGGCCCTGTAGGAAACTCCCTCAGCCATGGGACCAGCACAGAGCAGCTACCCTGGGTCCTGGGGTAGTGGCTGGTGCCGCTGGGACCGGTCCATCTTCCAGGGGAGAACAGGGTGTGTCCTGGAGGAGGCTGTGCCCGGCTCCTCACTGTCTTCCAAGGTCGACTCAGAAAATCAGCCTCCTCATGTGAGGCTCAGGCTCCCTCCTGGGGTGAGGTGTTGGCTCTTCCCCTCCATTCACTCTGCATCTGTATCTATGTGACTCAGGAAGAAAAGAGGCAATGGGCACGATTTGCTGAGAGCCAATACAGGAAATGCAGTTAGTTCTCCCGTGGGCTGAGCTCCTGTGCTCCACGGCAGCCTTTCGTTTTGACGAGGTTGGGCTGTGAAGCCACAGGTAATGAGATCAGCCCTGACACCTGCAGGAGAGTCCCAGGGCCTCACCATGAGTCGGGTCTTGGGTATGAGATGGTTTTATAAAATATGGCACAGTTTTGTCCCTTTAAGCAACTCTAAGCACAGTTGGGGACACTGCTCAGAAGGGACATGAAGAAAAGTAAATGGCATTTGCAGGTGAATGGATGGAGTTAGAGAAGATAATGCAAAGTGAAGTTAGCCAATCCCAAAAAACCAAATGCTGAATGATTTCTCTGATATAAGGAGGCTGACTCATAGTGGGGTTGAGAGGGGGAGCAGGGGAGGCTGAGATGAACTCTAGACAGGGCAGAGGGGAGGGAGAAGAAGGGAGGGGGCAGGGGGTAGGAAAGATGGTGGAATGAGACGGACATCATCACCCTAAGTGCATGCATGAAGACACGAACGGTGTGAATATACTTTGTGTACAACCAGAGAGATGAAAATCTGCGCTCTGTATGTGTCATATGATTGAAATGCACTCTGCAGTCATATGTAACTAATTAGAATTAAAAATTTAAAAAAAAAAGGTGAATAGGCAGCGAGGAGCCAGCTGAATCATCCAAAGAACCAGCACTGGCCACGGCCAGCTGTTTGCATTTGGATACAATCAGAAAAACACCGAGACAAACCACGAGACAAACCACGGTGCTCCACCCAGTTCCCAGCCCCAGGCTTTCTCAGGGCAGGGAGAACCCGGATGGGCCAGCCCAGATCCTCCCGCCCCCGCCTGCTCTCCCACCCGCATACTTAGCCCTCTCCCCTGACCCTGGTGCTGGCCACCAGGGACACCATGGTGAGCAGAGCCAGACTGGGCCCCACCCAGAGCCTCAGGGAAGCTGGCATCAGGGAAGCAGCTGTGGCAAAGGTGGGGACGTCAGGTGAGGTAAATTCTCTGGGGAAAAAAAGAGCCAGGGGTCTGCGGGCGCTTCCCAGTGGAGCTGACCACGGCCAGGGATGGGGCATCACCCTGGGGAAGCTGGAGGAGGAGGATGCCCCCAGGGAGGCCCATTTCCTGGGAGAACCCCCATCTTGCACCTCGGAGGGCTCAGGGAGTGAGAGCAGCTCCTGGGGGGTCTTCCCAGCTCTCAGAGGTGACCCTTCATTCCCGCAGAGGCCCAGGCTGACCGACTGTCCCGGGGCTTCCTGGGTCCATTCTGGTAACACGCAGGCTGCTGCTGCTTCTCAGAGAGGCCGGGGCCGGGCCCGACATCCAGGATGTGCCCGTGGCTGACGGCAGGACAGCCGCAGGCCCGTTACATTTTTTATTGGGTATCTCTTTACTATTTATGCAGCTCCCCCAGGGACCTTTTAAAGATTCACAAGCTGCTTCGATGTCGTCTCAAGGATCGAGCTGCGGGAAACAGACCACTTTTCAGATATTTCAGAGCTGTGATAACAAAGGATATTTATTTTAAGGAAACCTGGATTTCAATTTAGTCTCAGAACTTTAAAGAAAGGACCCACAATTCCCAGAATCACAGCTTCCGAAATACTGCCTGGTTTTTCCCTTGCGTGGATAGAAAATAAAAATCAAAGCTACTTGGTATGATGTAAAAAATGCCATCTGTGTGACCAGGAAAGAGCAGCGTGATCCAGAGCCATCCTGGAGCACTTCGAACCGAAGCTGAGCGGGGGCTCACGTGTTCAGAGCTTTCTCCTTTTGGAGACTAAGGAAATTTTCCTCTTCTTGGACTGTGGGTAATAACTTCTTTCTCCGTGCGCTAAACGCGGTCTAGACAGTGCCCGCCATGCTTGGGATGGCCATTCTGTTGTGAGAAGAAGAGGAAGAAGGGAAAGGCTGTCCTTTACAGTAGTGTCTCTTTAAAATATGAGGTTTTCAAATTAATACTTCTGGAGTCCATGTAGAGATGGCAGAGGCTGTTCAAGGGGGAGAGAGCTTTTACTTCTATATTTTATATATATATATATATATATATATATATATATATTATATACTTTTATGTTGGAGCTTTGCTATGAACTCGTGAGTTCTTGGCCTCTGGAGAAACATCATGCTGTACAGATACAAGTCAGCCTGTAGGTTCCCGGGGGCCTGGGGCTGTTTGCAGGGGGTGACAGGAGCGGGTGAACCCAGGAGGCCAGCTGTGTCACAGAGGGAGGCACCGTCCCTTGGCGTCTCAGACAGCATGGCAGGAATAAGAAGCGGGTTTCGCCTTCTCAGACTTGAGTTCTATGCTCAGGGAGACCTGCGGCTGTGATGAGGGCACTCCTCCTACCTTGCAGGCCTGTTGACCCCCAGCCCCAGACTCTCCCCGACTCTGCCCACTGCTCCTTCGAACGGCCCAGCTGGCGAGCATGCTCCTACCCTGCCCGCCACCAGGCCTCAGTGTCCGCAGCTGGGAAATGCATCCCCGGTGTCCTGGTGGCTTCCGGCGGAAAGGCTCGGAGAAAAGACACCTGTTTTCTTCACAGTGAGGACAGTGATCAGAGGCCTTGTTGACAGCAGAGGTAGGCTGTGACAGTCCGCGCCCACAGTGGAAGTGACTCAGGCCCACTTGGTTACTTCATTTCTTCTTTTCTTGCACCTCATTTTTATTAAAGTGCATTTTGCTTCCATCAGGATCCTTCACGAAGTCCCAGCTGTCCTGTGCCTGTGTCAGAATGAGACCTGAAGAGGGAAACATCAAGTCACGGCTCTCATTCTGGATTTCAGGATCGTGGGTGCAGCCAGGGGTGGTAACTCGGGCTGCACTCTCACAATGCAGGTATTGGGCCAGTTTTAGGCCCAGTTGATTCTCTGATCCATGCTCCAGCTCTGGAGAAGGCAGACTCAGGCACACTCCCCCGAGCCACAGGGACAGACTCAACCCGGGGCCCACAGTCTCTGCTGGCCCCTGTCCTTCCACACTAAAGGAGTCTCTGCCGTTTAGGGTGACTTTCAGTCAACCAGAGGCCCTCCACACCCAGCCCAGGCTTTCTGTAACCAGGGGGCTGCCCGTGCTGCAGTCCCGCCCGACCACGTGCAGGGGACTCTGGGCAGTGCTACGGAGGCAGGGTTTCTGCTGCCCTTGTAAAGAGAGACTCGGTTGGCAGTTCCACGACCTTTACTCCTCTCCTCCTCCTCCTTCTTTCTCCTCCTTCCTCCTTCCTCCTCCTTTTTGGGTATTAGGGATTGAACCCAAGTGCACTCAGCCACTGAACCACACCCCCAGCCCTTTTTATATTTTATTTAGAGACAGGGTCTTGTTAAGTTGCTTAGGGCCTCCCTTTTGCTAAGGCTGGCTTTGAGCTTGAGATCCTTCAGCCTCCTGAGCTGCTGGGATCACAGTGCGCACCACCTTTGCCTTTCTTCCTACCTGTAAAGTGGACCCCATGCCCAGGGGTGCTGTAGCCACATCAAGTGTGGATCAAAGCCAGATCCTATGGACCACCTGTCAGGTGTGAAGAATAAGCCCCTTCCACCACAGAGGGCTGGATGAGGGTCCTGGTGCACCCCACCAACGCAGTCCTGCAGCCTGATGCGACCATGTGTCACAAGTAAGAACTGCATAGGAGCCATGGGCAGCATGTCAATGCAGCCAGCGTTGACCTAGGGACCAGTGGCCTCCCACCTGACTGGGTGTAGCTGCTGGCTCACCCGAGAACTAAGCTTGGAATGCTAGTTTTTTCTATCAAGGTCATTTCCCCAGCACCTTGGCTGGTGGTTAGCTTTTATGCATCATGAACCTGTGTAGGAATTAACTAAAAGCCTTGGATACCCTCCTTATAAGCTAATCAGGCCAAAATTAACAAAATATCTGTGCACCATTCTGAGGGTTTCAAAGACTCCTAGAACCCCCCGTGGGCCCTGGCTGGAAAAAAAATCTTGCTCTAAACACACACAATCAATTTTGATTATCTGACTACATATGCCCACTTTGTTGATTAACAGCATGTAAATTAGGTACTTGTTTGATTTTTAATTTTGCAAATTGGGGTATTCGTTCTGTTCCTTGGGTGCTTACAGCCAGTTCCCAATTGCTCTCATTTCATAAATTATGATCTGTAGCAAAAAATATGGAATGTTGAAAATGATGTTGGCTCAGAGTAAGAGACTAAACAGCACGACAGAAACTGGGCCCCTCAAATCCTGATCTCTGGGCCCCGGGACCGAGCTTCTCATTCTGGAAGTACTGCGTGGGCCAGAGAGATGATGGGTGCCACACTCCTGTACCCAGTGTGCTCTCTCCCCTGCTGACTTGGAGACCCCTGCACATGGTGACGGGATCTGCTTCTCCCTCTTGGTAGTACTATTCCATTGTGTAAAAGTGCCCACTGTACATATGTGCTGCAGCTGTTTATTAGATCATCCTGTGATTGACAGATGTTTATGTTGTAACAAATTTTAAAACTACTGTTGCTCTCTAGGACTCTGTCCCAACTCCATGCAGCCCCTGGGGTGTCAGAGAGAATTCCAACCAACTGCTCTGCTTGGCGAAAGGGAATTAAAACCACTAGACTTTGGCAAACCCTGCTCTACCTACCTTCACTAAAACATCCAAAGTCCAATATTATGATTTTTTATATTTGCCATTTTTAATTATGCAAGTCACCATTTCCTTGTCATGCTGGGGTTTCTGACTCACAGAAAGCATCACCTGGGTAGGGTAGGAAAGGGGCACAGCAAAGACCTGGGAGCCAGGCTGCCTGATAGTGGATGTCAATCACACTTGCTAGCTGTGTGAGCTTGGGAAAGTTCTTAGCCTCTCTGTGCTTCCCTTCCTGATCTGTAAAATGAGGATAGTAAATGTGCCTACTTCATACCACATTGTCAAGATCAAATGAGGAAAAATCTCTAAAGTGTCAGGACTCTATTGGCCAAGGAAATGTCTAGAAGTCTTTTTAGCCTGGGTGCCTAGGAATAAGCTTGTGTGGGGAGTGCCCCTGCAGGAGTGCTGTTGCCCCAGGCAAGGAGCCAGGCCTGCCTCAGAGCCCACCTGGATCCAGGGGGCAGAGGCAGGGCCCACACCCCTCCTGGAGCTCACAGAGGCCTTCCAGAGTGTGCAGGTGCCCAGGAGGCCCTCTGCACAGCCCGGGGAGGACCAGCGCAAACCACAGGGAACCAGGCCTCTGCCCACACGGTGCCTCCACGGAGACATCAGCCCATTCCCCAATTCACAGCTGCGGAAGAGCGGCAGACGTCCCCCTGGTGGGCACAGGCTGTCCTGCTGGGACTTCCTGCTAAGGAGATGAAGTCTCTTCCGAGGACTGCAAAGCACAGCCTGAGGCAGCGGAGGTGGCTCTGTTGCTAGGTGCAGAGGGCAGGATTGTTGCTAGGTGCAGAAGGCGGGTCTGTTGCTAGGCGCTGGAGGCGGGACTGTTGCTAGGCGCTGGAGGCCTGCTAATCCCTCTTACTGGGCAGCCCAGGAGTCCAGCGACCTGTTTGTGTGGGAGAAGAAAACAATGGCTGGGTTTGAATGAAAGTTCAGCAGGAAGCCACTGCAAACAGGGACAGGGATGGAAGGCAGGAGACAGAGAGCTGTCTGCAGGGCTGCAGCTGAAACAGGAGCCACACTCCAGGACCCACAGCCCGCCCCAGTGCAGAAGAGGAAGTCTACAACCTGAGCTTGTCCTCACACGCTGGGGCTCCTAGGAATCCAAGAAGGCTTGCTGACAGGCTGATTCCCGAGCCCATGAGCACCCAAATCAGCAGGCTGGAGAGCCTGGGCCATCTGACGCTCCTCCTGGTGGCTCTTATTCAGGTGGGCCAGGGACTGCAGGTAAAGAAAGAAGCAAGCCAACGGTCTGATTCCTAGGCTGGTGTCCAGGGTGGCTCCTCCCAGAGCTGAGGGCAAAATTATATGGGAGCCCAAGATAAAAATCATATTTCATTCAACCAGAGCTCTGTTTAGACCTGATTGGTCTGCAAAATGCCCAAGTAAGACAGAACAGCACACACTTACATGGTGAAGAAACGACACGGACAAGCTGCTTTCTTTGGAGAGAAATGTGAGTTCAATGCAGAGCAGAGCCTTATCTTTGAGGGAGAGAGATCTGCTGACTACACCAAGGGACTCCAGTGATATTCAGGGCAGAATTTGGAATGTCACAAACATGGGTATGGATCTCAACGGCAACACAGGCGCTCTTGTTTGGACGGTGTGAGGCCCCTGTGCATGGCACAGTGCTGCCAGTTGCCAGAGCCTCTGTGTGTTTTACACCAACCTAATATTTGAAAGGTGAGGGCCAGCTCCGGGTCCTGGGGCGTGCACCACCTCCAGGGCCTGGGGGAGTCTCTAACTAGGTCAGGCCAGAGCTTCTCCACACACAGGCATTACCTTTCCTGTCTGATTTCCTAACTCATCATCATGTGGAAAAGTGATAATTAAGAATAAAGGTGGTGTTCAAAATGCCCTGCAGAACCGCAATCTGATTTTCCTAAGAGGTTTTTCATGCACAATTCTATCCTGAGGAATTCACTGGCAGCACAAAGAACCCCCCACCCCCACCAGCCTCTACATACGTGCACAGGGCTGCGTTGGTGTAGTTCAGGCTGCTAGGCCGACGTCAGTGTGGAGTCTACTCTCAACTCCTTTTTGTGCTCAAAGGTTCCAACCAGGCTCAGAGTCAACAATGAAAGTGAGGTGATTCTCTAGGTCTTTCCTCTCCCAGGAAGGCAGGAGCTCTGCCGTTGCCAGGCAACCACCCGCCCCTACTCCTACCTCTTGCTGGGCTCAGGTGTCAGGGCCACTGGACGACAGCTCACTGGAGGCTGCAGGTGATGGCGATGCACCCAGGACTGCTGATCACACCCAAGTGGGGTGATCTACACCTGGGGTGTGAGCTGATTTGCACTTGGAGTGCAGAAAAATGTGTGGGTGTGTGAAAAACAGAACAAGAACTTGTCATCCCAAAGTGTGAGTTCCAGCTGAGCCAAACACGTGATATCATGGTGGGAAGAGCAGTAGACACAGAACTTTCTAGAAAACTTCCTACTCTTCAACACAAAACTTGCACTTGTTGAAGAAAATAAAGAGCAGTGCCAGGGAAGCCAGAATTAGACAGGCAGCCGGAGGTAGGTAGACCGAGTCCGGTCAGATCAAGGAGGCCAATTTGAGCGAGTCTGGGAAGTTGGAGAGGGATCGAAATGCCTTCAGAGCCCTTCCTCCACCCTATCAAGACAACCTGCTCCGCTCCGACTGTTGCTAAGGTAACCTGTCTCAGGAATTGCCCCTCCCTACAGGGAGTTATAAAGTTATTAATTAATGTGTCCTGGGCCACTCCATCCGGTCCTTACCTGGTCCATCTGCTTCTCACCTTTTGGCCACCCCACCCAGCAGCTCCTGGTCAGGAACGCAGGAAGGAGAAGAGAGGGAAGAGCGCAGGAGATCAAAGGAAGCCTAGGACACATAAAAAGACAGAACACCTCGCCTCCGGGGACACCAGGACACTTCTCCTCCCTTCCCGGAGAAGTCTGTCTCCCCTTTTTAAATAAACCCTGCTCTATATGCATCCCTCGGCGTGCTTCTCTAATATCACACTTCAACATGGGGGAGCAGCACTCGTCCCTGGTAACCCGCAGTGTCACCAGGTACACAGAAAGCCATCTAGGCACTAATACCCTGAGTGGTTCTGTCATCCAGGACTGACTGACGGTTTGCGTCCACTCGTTGAGGTCCCCCTTGCCTGGGTCTCACAAGCAAGCACTCTGCTGTGAGACAGACCTGGATTCTGTAAATGGTCAGGGCTGAGTTTTTGGGAAGTCAAAGGACGGGGTCTTCATGGGGATGGGGGAGACCCCCAGAGGAGCCTGGCTTTCAGAGCTGAACCCTGAAGAGGTCAGCATGATCAAGGTCAGAGTCAAGGTGCTTACTACATGCAGCAGCAGTTGGCCAAGGCTGGTTCTCCACAAAAGGGGTTTAGGATAGGTTAATTGGGTAGTTTGCCAAAGCCCCTCACCCAATGCTATGCCTCTAGGAAGTGCCCAGAATTGTCCTGATGAGAAAGGTCTGTGGCCCAAGGACAAACTGCCACAGCCATGTGTCCCAGTGATGCCGTAGCAGGGCCAGGAGCCTGCACCCACGACCCTGTGGCCCTACAAGGCGAATGCTTCTGGCAACTTCCCCACGTCCTCCTGCAGGCTGCTGACCTCCCCGGGGAGAGCTGGTCACACCTCTGCAAGGGAAGCTCCCAGTTTGTGCTTCAAGGGCTCCAGACATAGGAAGCAGGTTTCCAAGACGCAGAGCAGCCTGAGGACAGATGAAGACCCTCATGGGGAGGAGGGGTGCAGTGGAAATGCAGAGCCCTGGGAACAGGCGGGCATACCTTGGATCCCTCCCACGACTCACAAGCCACCCTTGAAAGTGGCATGGCTGTGTGCCTGTGGCCAGCCTTCTACTGTGCCGCGGAGGGCGTTAGAACAACTGGCAGCACGGTATGATCAGTCACAAGTGGAGGCTTAGTCTCCGATCAGGAACAGAGATCTGCCTATGCGTGGCTCAGGGGGAGCCTCAGGGTGTCCACGTGCAGATGAGTCAGGCTGCAGGTGGGCAATGGGCATCCTCCCGTCTGCTCCTGCCAGGGGGCCGCCAAAGGCAAGGGGACATGCAGGGCTGTGAGCTGATATTTGAGGAGGATGCTGTGGTGGCTGTGGGGAGGGGCGGTGGCTGGGCTGGCACAGCCACGGTGAGGGAGAGGAGCACAGGAGGCTGGAGCAGAAGTCAAAGCGCAATGTGGCGCACGGGGTAAGCAGCCTGGGGACGCGGTCCAGTTCCCAGCATCTCCTGCCTCTCTCTGCATCTCTGAGGCGCTGACCTCAGGTCTGACGTCTCGGCTCCACCTGCAGTCCTTTACAGAGCCAACCCTAGACCTCCACCCTCCACCCTCCTCTATATCCTCACCTTACTTGGCTCGTCTAACCACAGCCGCTAACCCTCCTCTCCCCACCGCCAGGCAAAGCTGTCCATCCACCAAGTCTCCATGTTCTCAGATGTGACCAGCCACCTGCCCAGCTGGCCACTGCTCTCCTGCCCAATTCACTGTTGATTCGCCTCCCATCTCCCATATCCTGCCCTTCTCTTTCTGTTCCTGGACCTCTTCAGACCAACTCAGGCCCGCCTCTGGGACCCCCAAAGCCTCCCCACCTCACCTTGAGCAGACTCAAGGATCCTGAGTCGGACATTGAAGGCTATTTACCCCTGGCCCAGCTTCTCATCTGTTTAGTCTGTTTGGGTTGCTATGACAAAATGCCTGAGACAGGGAAATTTATAAAGAACAAAACCTCTCAAGTTCTGGAGGCTGGGAAGTTTAAGTCGAGGCAGCAGGAGGTTCAGGGTCTGGTGAGGGCCACTCTCTGCTCTCAAGGTGGTGCCTTGTTGCTGCCTACCCCAGAGGGCTGAATGTCATGTGAAGCCATCGCTATGTGAAGCCTCCTTTGAGGCCGTTGGTCTCCCTCCCCACTCACAGGGGAGGGCCCCTTAAGACCTAGCATCTCTTAACACCCTCACATCAGCCCTGAAGTTCCACACTCAAGCTGTAGCACCTCCCACCTTAGCCCCACCCCCGCCTTGCTCTTTCCAACTTTCCTGAGCTACGGCTGCCCAGAGGGGTTGGTTCTAGGACCCCTCGCCTCAGTAACAAACGCACTTAGAGCACCTCACACCACAGCAGCTGGAGCACCATGTCCGCAGCACCCCATGCGTCTGGCACCTGGCTTTCCTTCCCATTCTAGCATTTTCTAACTTCCCTCACAACTCTTTGGACTCATGATTTAAAGTGTGTGATTTCCAAGTATTGAGGGATTTTCCAGAAATCCTTTAAAACAGGATCTGAGGGGTATGCATGGGGATTGATTCAGGACCCCCCAGATTCCAAGACCCCAGGGGGCTGAATCCCATCTATAAAATGGCGTGTCTGTACATAACCTTGGCATATCTCCTGGGGTGCGTTAGGCCATCTCCAGATCCCGCTCCAAAGGACGTGGATGCTATGTGAAGGAGCAGTCCTGACAGCGCATGGACAAGAACAATGACGAGAAGTAACCGCGCACCTTCTCAGGACAGATGGGACTTCTCCTCCATGTACCCACCCCCCACACTCTGTGCTGGGGATTGAACCCTGGGCCTCAAGCATGACAGGCGCTCCACACTGACCACATCCCCAGTCCTTCCAAATACTTCCTTTATATGGTTAGTTGAACCCATGGGCTGGGACCTGGGGGTCCGAGGCCCTCCAGGGTTACCCTGCTCCTCTTGCCCTGGGGTCCTTGTAAACACCTCTTTCCCCACAGCACGTACCTTTACCTGACCTCACACCTACTATGGATCTGATTTATAACGCTGTTCCCCGGCATGTGGCCCCGCGGGCTCACATGGGCCACGGCAGGCGCCCTCCCCTTGCCTGGCCGCTCGGCGGACCTTGGTGGACCTTGCTTGGGCTCCCGTGTTTGCTCTGGGCCTGAGGGTCACAAATGCATAAACGCTGGCAGGGATGCCCCTTGGACGCCCCACATGCCCAGGAGGGCACTGGTTAATGCAGGAGCAGTGCCTGCCCCCCGGCCCCAGCTTCGTCTGGTGGCGTGGCGTGGGCAGACTTTCCCTGCTCCCCAAAGTGAAGAATTCGTCCACTTCTGCAGTCAATACACGACTGAGAGCCATACAGGTATTCTTAAAGGAAGTAAACAAATTAAAATGGAAAATTAAGCAAAATGACTTAAGATGCTTAAAAACCCCTCCACAGCCAATGAGGTCCTTCTGGCTCCTCCATTAGAAAGAAAATTAAATCAGAAAAACAAATCTTTAAGAAAACCCCTCTTGCCAGTGAGGAGCACAGAATACTGACACCAGCGACTTTGAAACAACGTGCCAGCAAGCCTGGGTGGCTCGTGTCCCGCGGATGAGACCTTTCTTTTTCACAGAAACAAGGGTGAGAGGACATCTTTACTCTCATCAACCTCTGGCTGAACATGAGCATTTCCTTGGAGATGCAGGAGCAGAGAACTTGACATTGCAGACCTGTGTTCTCGGACCCGCCCCGTCTCTGGGTTTTCGGGGAGGCGGGGCCCACGGCTGGCCTGCTCAGTTGCACGAGGAAGCACCGTTACTGTAGCACAATTAAAAAAAGAATCTTTGGTAACTGTGTAAATAAGACAGCTCTCCTTTGTTCACCCAGGTTTTATTTTATGCATTTACATAATTCTGAGGCGCTGTTGCCTTTATCAAATTGCCCAAGGGCTCCACAGCAGGGTTAGGTAGCTTCATTTCAATCTATTTTGCATAAAACTGGACTAAACTGAAAACATTCCCCTTGTGCCAAAAAACGATGTATTAAGAAATGTAGTGTCCTGGTGTGTGAGCTCTCTCCCTGCGATGGCCCTCAGACCTCCTAGAATCTAGGCTGGTTCCGATTCATTGGCGGACACGTCTGCACTTGTTTTCCATGTTGGTGGTAAACACAGCATGAAGCCCCACAGCCAGAGCCATTTCACTCTCGAAACTCATTTCTATCACAGTGAGGACCAATTCTCTCCTGCAGCATGTGCTCCTGGGATTCAGAGATGAGCTGTCATCAAAGGGTGACGTTGGCAGGGACAGGAGAGGGCCACAGGCTGGGCACAGGAGGTGGGTGTTGGGACACTGTGGCAGGGAGGGCAAAGGGAGAAAGAAGAGGTCTTAGGAATGGCTGCGGGACCTGGTGGCCGCTGGAGGAGAGGGGACTTGGGTACAGGCCCACATCTGATTGCTACTGCAGCTGTCGATACTCGGCAGGTGCTGGCCCCTGCAAAATAAATGACTTGGCACGTGCTCTGACTTCACAGGGAAAGATCAAGGTGAGAATCTATCAGGGACACAATCTTCCCTCCACAAACCAGAGCACAAATCTTTTCAACCAAGTCTTTCCCCTGAATATTTGGTCCTAAAGAGCCCCTACAAATTCCATCACTTGTATTTATGATTATCGGCATCAACAGACTGCAGGGTCTGACGGAGTTCCTTGGGCCCAGAGAGAGAGAGGGTGGTGAACTGAATTGCGACCCAGATGTGTTGGAAGCCTGAACCCCGAGACCTGCAGCTGTTCCATCCTCAGGACCCAGGTCTCTGCAGATGCAGTCAAGTGAAGACGAGGTCATACTGGGTCAGTGTCCTGAGGAGGAAATCTGGACAAAGACAGATGGCCTTGTCACAGTCTGGTTTTGGACTTCTGGCCTCCAGAACCAAGAAAGAATGCATTTCTGGTTTCCCTAAGCTCCCTTTCTTATCAGCTTCATGCAAGTTATGAGACCAGGCGGAAGTGTGTCCTTAACTGTAAAATGTGTGTGAGGACGTGTAGGAGCTGGTACATCTGGCCATAGCTTTCTGCTACTATAACAAAAATCCAGAAATTATGATAATTTATAAAGAGA